GGAGTAGAAAGCACCACCATTCTTCCATGGAGCAAGTGTACTACACCATGAGAAGCAAGATAAAAAATAATAATATGTAAAGACAGGGCCTTTGGAGATATTGGAAAAGAGCTGAGTTTAGGTTAACATTGTTTAAAATATTTCCCCAAGCATTTTGATAACTATTCATAGAAAGTGGATACTGCACCGACACTACATACAAACACTCAATTCAGTTTACTTACCCTATTAAATCTGAGGAAGTTTCTAATTGAGCAACACATTAAATCTTTTAGTACTATTGGGAAGGTGGTTGGTTAGAATCCTCCCAAGGTAATTATGAAAAAGGCCTACTGATTGCTTCCAAAATGTCATAGGTTTGAAACTCTATAGAAATCAATTCAATTCCTACCCACCTGGGATTACCATAAAGCATAATCATTTTAACAACAATTGGTCTAGTTTACTTCTTTATGAAATGTTGAAAAATATGAAATTCATTCATTCTTTCCTCCATTCAAATGTATTCCCCTCTGTGGAAGCCTCAAGTAATTAGGAAATGAATAACTTTCTGCTTTTATAGCTCTTGCATTATCAAATAGAAGGGTTTATTATAACTTGATTTGGAAAATGATCTGATTTTAATCTCCCTCTTCTACCTACAAGTATATCTCAACAAAATAATCCATTAGTATTCTCTAGTAAATCATTTGCATCTACTACATATCCTGTTAATATAGTGAAGTAGTTCTGTGTTCATATATGTGTGTGGGTGTGTGTGTATATACATATATACATATATACATGTATATGAAATAAGATAACTGTTTAGGAAGCAAAAATTAGTGACAGGCAAATATGAACATGAAAATACATATTATTTTATAATCGACCTTACATAATTTTAAAAAACCTTGACTAAATAACTTCCCAAAGTGAAGTGAAGGATCTGAAGTTTCAAATCCTCTGTGTGAGATCCCTGTAATCTCAGTTATAAAGTGTGCACACTTCCATATAAAATAATATAGTGTTTTAGGTGATACTTTCTTAGAATAAAATCTATAATATCACTCAATATAGATACAATGCTTGCCTATATATTTCTGAGAATGGGAAATCCTTAAAATGTGTCCGTCATCTGGGCTTGCTGATTTTTCCTTGCTCTTTCAACTCTGTCTGAATCCTGGGTAATACTGGAGCAGAAACAATAGTGGTTCATTGTCTGAGACATAGTGTCCTGATTATTTTCACAAATTTTGTTTCCTTTCCCAGAAAGGGTTTATCTCTTGCAAAAAATGACTTTTACCATGTGCCAAACTTAGCAATGGCCAAATTAAATAAGACTCAACCTTTTTTGCTTATGCATCAAATTAATGTGTTAAATGGCAAGATACTTTTTCATTATTTGATTCTTCCATATTAAATAGTATACTCTTTTTACATCAAAATATTAGATTTATCCTTCTATATCACACTACAATTCGGGTTTCTTGAAATACTTTAATATATCTTAGTTTTTAAAATCTGTTATTTAGTATGTTTTTGAATTGTCACCTATTGATGCTATTGATGATAATATCCTTTGCTTTCTTCTTTAATTATGAAAGTCAATTTATTCCAGACCTTTATTTTATGTTCTCCTTTATCACCTAAGTTCTAGTTTATTGTGGTATCCAAAAGCACAGCTATGATTTATTAAAAAGACACATATAGGAATACTAAGCTGGCTAACTACAAGTATGTTTTGACAGCTGTTAAATTTATTTCTCTTCATGTTTCTATGTCATTTCTTCCAGGCGATTTGCTAATTAATTATGAAGAAACTTTCCTCTTCTAGTAGAAAATGATGATGCAATGATTTTATTTGTTGTATATTCCTATTTATACAAATTTCGAGATTTTCCTTTACTATTTATTTTTTAATAAAAGATTCCTTTTGTATTTGATTAGGGACCACAAGGAAAACCAGGGCTTGCTGGGCTTGCTGGTGCGGATGGGCCCCCTGTAAGTAACAATTACCTGGTCATTAAACATTCTGTATATTATCTTCACCAATCAATTTTACATGTGTTTTGGAAATAGCTATGTGAAGTCATTAAAAAAAGCAAATGTGGCCAGTAATTTAAACATTGATCTCAGTAAAACTCCACGTCATCATGTCACTTTTATATTGCAAAACCTTTCGTCAGCGCACAGTGGCCTCTGGATAAACTCATTCTGGCATTCTGCACCAGAAGCTACCCCAACCTCCTATTTTCCAATTTCTCCATAAACCGTCAGCGGACAGATCTCCTTGCTTTTCTCTCACCATGCTCTAAAGTTTTCCATCTCTAAGACTTTCCTATTTTCTGTATTTTACAGAAAGCACTCTCCACTGTCCTATCCTCTTTTCCAAACTAGACATATTTTAACAGTTCAGGTGAAGTTTCTCATCCTGTGTAAATATCTTCAGAATTCTTCCATGGAAATTTCTTAGCCTTCAGGAACTCACTTCTTCTCTAGAAAAATAGAATTTACTTTTATTTAAGGTAGTCTTCTAGTAGTTATAAAAATATAATGATGAAATATCCACAGTTGTATTTTAAATGTCTAGTTATTTTTTCCCCCTTCAAAGCACTTTTTCAAGTGTGTAATGCCTAAGATACAGGAGTTTTAATTCTGCCTCTATTTGTTGTTATTCATTTTAATTGTGATATCACTGTACATTTTCACTAATCAAGTTTCAGTAAAATGGGTAATATTCTTCATATTTTTTATCTTTCTCTTTTTGAATGTCTCAATTACATAGCTGTTTTTTGAATTGCCACACATAATCAGTAGCTCAATGAGAAAAATAAAAATCAATTTAAACTCAGTAATTTCATGTAAGACCCATTGGAGATTGGAGTCACATTTTTAATGACTATTAATTTGTTACTGTATCTTGATTGGTTAGCTTTTCCCAAGATTTGTCATATTTGGTGATTTTACATGCATCAAATATTAGCTTATACAGTATTTCCTTCCAAGAGTCACGACTTCTAAGACTGTTTATGGCCAAATGCATTGATGCAATACAACCTCACTCTTTAACACACAAAGTGTAGCATGTCAATCAATAAAGGCAACAACAAAAAGAACAGATTAATCATCGTGTTCTAACCACTGTCTATTCTTGCTCAACCTAGGGCCACCCTGGGAAAGAAGGCCAGTCTGGAGATAAAGGTGCCCTGGTACGTCACAGTGTATATATTTACAGGCTCTGCTAATTTATTCCTGAACAAAATGCCTTCATGTGGTTATTGGTGTATTCCTCTAAGATTAAAATCATACAGGAGCTTGCAGTCCTTCTTTACTTGCATATGTTTGTTTATTTTGTCAATAATGTGTCCTAACATTTAAACACAAAAACTGTTCCCATAGTCATTTTTCCATGGGTCTAAGAGACAGGCATGGCTGTGATAAATTTAAGTTTTTATTAGAAGTCTATAAATTAAATTAGCTCCCCTGTTTTTAAGATTATTGCTGTGATTAGGACTATATTTACATTTTGCATATATACTCTATGATCAATAAGTGATCATATAAATTACGGCAATTAAATAAACAAAAAATGATTGTCAATTAAAATGCTTATGTTAGCCTAATACTAACCTACTACTTCCTATTAATGTTTAATACAAGGGAACATATATTTAACAGCAATTTAATTATCAATATATCTTGAAAATAACAAAATAAATGCTTAGTCAGTATTAATAGTGTTTTCAATTGAATTGGCAGGGCCAAAGAATTTTACTTAGAGTGGCTAGTTATACATACGTATTAAGTGATATGAAAATTCTCAACATTACCATAGTAACTGAAATTATATGATCTATATTTATTAATTTAAGTAAATTAATAAAATGTAACCTATATGGAAAATATATATAATTTTCATCATACAAAGGGTTTCAAAATGCTTGTGGAAAAATGGAATTAAATGGTAGTGGAATTTTTTCCCCCAAACATTTTGAACTCCCTCTCGCTCTCTCTCTCTTGCATTGCCTTCAAGTCAGCCCTGGCTCAAGGTGACGCCGTTAGGTTTCTGTGACAGTAACTGTGCACCAGAGTAGAAAGCCTTGTCTTTCTACCACAGAGCTGCTGAGGTTGTCGAACTGTTGACTGTGTGGATTTCAGACCCATGCATAACCACTGCACACCCTGAGCTATTTGAAGCCTCCTTATACTGTTTCAGTGGGCAGTTCTGGTTACATATTGTGTTTACCAAATCTAACAACAAATATTAAAAGCTATCCAAGAAATTGTTACAAAATTTAATAGTAGAGAAATATCAGACCCTGTAGATGATTTAGTAAATGTATAGGATATGAATGAGTAATATTTCCAGTGTGGTAGTGTATATTAAAGTGCAGTGACTATTTTTCAGGGTCCTCCTGGCCCACAGGGCCCTATTGGATACCCTGGTCCTCGGGGAGTCAAGGTAAATGTTTTTGCGTGGTTTTCACATTATTTGATGGATGTCAGAGCAAACATTATCGTGACGTAATCCTTCTGTTTTATTCCTCAGGGAGCAGATGGTGTCAGAGGTCTGAAAGGCTCTAAAGGTGAAAAGGTAAACTATTATCATTTAGATGATTTGACTTTGCCACACATTTAAAGGAAAACTTTTATTCAATGGAGCTTTTCTTTGTAAAACTCAGATATACTGAGTTCTTACCAGAAAATACTAGTCCAATTTCATGTCACATGTCTTGAATTTTATTTTGTTTAAAACATAATGCCTTGTATCCTGAGGTGATGGTTGAATTATAAAACAAAACAGAGTTTTCATAAAGCAGGGGTGGAGTGGGGGGGTGTTATCTTACGTTTGTCTAGCTTTTGTGAGTCATAGGGTTAGTCATATGAATAGATTTTCTAGAGTGGATGAACAATATTTAAGTTTATGAATATCAGAGGAATATTTATTCCCTCTTTTGCAACATTCCTAAGTTGAAATGCATTGCATGAAAGTTAAAACTAGAGGGCGTGGGTAAGGAGCAGGGAAAAAAAAAGAAAGAAAGTTAAAACTACTCTAAATCAATTAGGATTAATGATAGCTTCCTGGGAAGCAAAATAATTAATTAGAAGGAAATAAAGATTGAAACCAGAGAAAGGTAGATGAAAAGAACTTTCCTCATACTGTGCATGAAGAAATCCTAGTTTTTACAATCATTTATAATATATTTGGCTTAAAGGGAAGAATATACATTTCAAGTGTCTTAAAAGAGATATTTAATATGAGTTTATGCCACCAAATTCTTCAAATATTATGCAAAGAGAAAGATGTCACTCAGATTTATAATTTGATTCTGACTATAAAGTACTGTATAATAAAAAATAATAAGCAACACATACGATTTATACGATACAATACTTATAGATTTGATACATGGACTATTAATGGCAACCGCTCCTCACTTCTGCTAGTATTCTGTCTATTTGTTGTAGTATGGTGGCTTGTGTGTTGCTGTGATATAAAAAGAGGTCATTTAAAAAGACAATACAAGAGAGAAGATCAAAATGATTGTTTGAAGAGATTCTGAAACTTGCTCTTGAACCTAGAGTACCTAAAATTAAAGAAAGAAATGCCGATATATAATGATAGTTTAACAGATGATGACAAAGGTGTGAAACTAAAGGGAATATGCTTTGATTGTGACCAGGGCTGATAATAGAAGGGAAGGAGGGGAAGTCACAGGTTAGAGGGAGATAGGTATTTGCTTGAGTAAAGTGAAGGGGAATATAATATGCACAAGAGGAAGGTTGGTAAAAATAATAAGAAGAAAGAAAGAAAGGCACTGGGAGGCCTATAGAATTTAAAGGCAACAGAGACAAATACTAGTACCTGAAAATTACCAAAAATAATAATAAAAGGAAATATACCAGCAATAGTGGTGCTTTATGAATAGATGCTTAGCTAGACATGCAGGCTGAACAGGTATAGGTGAGAGAATGGGAGTTTACCCCGGAAAATATATAGCTAGGACAGAGAAGATCTATTTGTGTATATGCCGATGACAGAGAAAGGCTGTCTCTGTCTACTTAGCTTTGCTGCAAATATATACATGGCTGTGGTGGGGCATTCGGGAGGCAAAGTGAATTCTTCATAGACATAAACAAGCTCATTGGAGGGAATGGGTCACTAGCCTGGGGGATTAGGATTGTAGTCTCAGGGGACACCAAGCGCTATTGGCACAACGTAATTGACAAACACAGTGTCTGGCACCTTAGTTGGGTAAATAGCAACTGAGATTGATATGCTTGTGGGCAGCAATCTAAGATACAACTATTGCGGTGTTACAGATGGGAGGAAATAGGTGTAATGAAAATCTGAAACTACATGGAAACCATTAGTGCAACAGTATCAGTATCTACAACCCTGAGAGCAGAAGTAGATGGTTCTCAGCTACCACAGCAATTGGTCCACACGCCTCCTCTTGTAAAGTCCTGGTGAACAAAGGTCACAGTCATGAAGAAGGCCACTTGCTGGATGGCGAGAGACAGATGGGGAGCCTGGAGAGCATGGCTCTGTCTGCCTTCAGCTTTGGAGCTGAGCCCACCCCATGGTTACAAACAGACACAAAGAAAGCTAAGCAACTGAGATCAAGTGACAGCATTTATCCCAGGACATCATGCCAAGGGCCGGAGGAGAAGGAGGAATGGACCCCGAAAAAGAAACGAGGAGAAAGCAGGGGGTGAAGGTGCATGAGGAACAGTGGACGAGATGAAAGTCTATGAATGTGAAATATAAAGTTGACGATCTGCTCCGTAAATATCCATCTAATTCACAACAAAAAGTTTTGATGTTTTTTTAAATCACAAAGACAGCTGGAGAAAACTGAACTATTATCATGATTCGGTGAACAGGAGTTAAAATCTAAGAGAGAAGAGCATACTCAGCATTTATCAAACTGAAAGAACTGAGAAAGCAATGGAAACCTTGAATGTCAGCATTGAAAGATTCTGTGGTCAACATCCAAAATTCTGTCTGTTTGTCATACTGTGGTGTGGTGGCTGATGGGTGTGGTGATGCTAGAAGTTATGCCACCGATATTTTACAGGAAAGCTGTGTGTCAGGGCTATATCCTTTCACCACACTTACTCACTTTGTATGTTAAGCAAATAGACCAAGAAACTGAGGAAAGGCTCTTTAACACACTGTGATAAATAGAGGAAACCATTTTACTTACTTAAAGTGAGGAGGATTTTTACTACCTGCTGATGAAAATCAAAGATGCTAGTCCACCCTATGAATTACAAGGAAGTGCAAAAAAAACTTTCATCCTCACATTGATACCAGTAGACATGATAATAACCTAAGAAATGATAGGAGTTGTCAAAAAATTCAATTAAAAATCAATTTTTATGAAAGCAGCATCCATTCCTAATAATGAATTTTTAATTACAGTAGCTATCTTGATGGTCTGCCATTTCTTTCTGGTCATCACAGGTGAATTTCAGGATGCATAATGCCTTGCTGAATTGCTAGCAGATCAAATTAATGGGTCAGGTGTATTGAATTTGTTATAATTTGTAGGTTGCCTGCACTAAACTTGTTATGTTAGGTTAGTTAATTTTTTGTTATGATGTTTATGACCAATTAAATTTTCTCAGGAATTAAAGCCCTCCACTTTTTTGTTTGTTTGGGGTTTTTTTTTTGTTTTTTGTTTTAATTTGATGGGGTTCATTTATAAAAGATGAGTTTTATTGAAGTGGGAATATGATTATCTTATAGTAGGAGGGATTGTTGAGAAATGGCAATACTAAATAAAATTACAGTTAAGAAGAAGTAACTAAAAGTCACACAGGAGAATAAATAAAAGTATTTCTCTCCTGTATAGGAGTACTTGAGTTTAATTGTTGTCTTAATTTGTATATGGTTGAGGAGATATGGAGTAGATATGGAGATAAAAATTAACATTTTAGAAGAGTATCAATGTGCTCAATTTTTAGTTCTCACAATAATGTAGCCTTTAGTATTAATTAAAATTCAATGTACAGTAAAGAGAAGTAAAATCCTCATAACTGGACAAATGGTAGGATTATGATAAATAGAGAAAATATTTAAGTAATCAAGTGTTTTTCTCATGATTGGATCCATGATCAATACTCATGGAAGTAGTACTGCAGAGATCACAAGACACATAGCATTAAGAAAATCTACTTCATAAGACCTCTTGAAATTCTTGAAAAGCAAGTCTTTTACTTTGGGGAATAAGGTGTGCCCAACCCAAGCCATGGTATTTTCAATTGCCTCATATGCATGTGACATTGGACAGTGAATATAAAAGACTGAAAAAGAATAGATGCATTTGAATTATGTTTGCAAGTACCATGGACTGCAAAAGAACAAACAAATCTATCTTGAAGGAAGCACATCATAATTTTTTGTAGCGGATGGAGGGTGAGACTTCATGTCAAAGGGTTTGGACATGTTATCAATACAGACCAGTCCCGGAAGGACATTGTGCTAGGCAATGTAGAGCAACACAAAGAAAAATCACACAATCACTGCTATCGAGACTTTACTAACTCAGGTTAAACTTCCTATCTGAGTTTTCAAAATGAACTCTCTTTATAAGAGTAGAAAGCCCTGCCTTTCACCTCAGGAGTGGTGTTTCCCAAATGCTGACCTTGCAATTAGCAGTCCAAAGGAGCAGCTAAAAAAGAGAAGATTTTATACAATATGGATTGACAAAGTGTCTGCCACAATGGGCTCTGAGGTAGTTAAGGTTTATTGTGCCAACCTGGGTGATAAACACATATGGGGTTAATTGAAGGGCGGAAAGATAAATGGCTCAGTGAGGGTGAGCCTCACCTTTCTAGTTCTTGGGTCTCATGGTCGGACCAGGGTGCAGCTGCCTAGCCAGTTCCCTGCTTCAGCTGGAAAGGCTCACTTCCTGCAAGACATCCCTGAGGAGAAGCCACATGGACCTACCCGGATGCAGCCATGGGTGCTAGAGCAGCCGTGTGGAGACCCCTGCCGGCGCTGAGATGCTTACACGCTCATTGACTCGACTTTCCTCCTGCAGTCAGCATCATTGGGTGTGTTTTTGAGACTGAGGAGGACTTTGTGGATTGGCGTCGCACATATGGGCTAATGTTGGACTTACTGGCTTGGACAGCACTAGTTGGGGATGCTTTCTTAATGTACACTTACCCTTTATATAAAAGTTTCTCATATATATATATGAGTTTCTGTGGATTTGTTTCCCTAGTTTACCCAGACTGACACAGGCCGCCATAAGAACCATTGTGATGATGGCCTTTTGTTCTGTTGTACAGAGGGTCGCTCTGAATCAGAACCGACTTGGCAGTACCTAACAGCAATGAAGCATGCAGGCTCAGGAAGACAGGGCACTTCCTCTGAGCCTCATTTGAAGTACAAAGGAGAGGGTTAAACATTTTTCATCAAGCTATTTTTCTAAGCTTTTATTCTATATCAGTCAAGAAGTATATTATTTTATAGATTCAGAGAAATTATACATACATGTTAATGGGATTTAAAAATGATAATGATTTTCCCTATTTTAAGCTCTATTATTACAAACTACTAATGAATTTTAAATGCATTTATTTTTTCTGAGTATGTATTATATATAATTGATCATTTTTCTATAGAGAGATAAAAGAGAATGGTGAAAAGTGTCTTATCTTTCATATATAATACATTGTTAACTAACAGGGAAATATCAAATTAACCAACTGTCCAGAGCTAATGGTCTCCAAATTTTCAGAAATGTGTTTGTTCCTTAGTCTTTAAGCAACACTGTCCAATAAAAGAAATAAAACCACCAAAACAAACCAATTTCTATTAAGTTACTTCCAATTAATATAATCCTATATTAAATATATATTTATATAGTTTTATGTTTTATAAAACTGCTTCCTTTTTAAACAGGTTCAATTGACATCTGATAATTTAGAAAGTTCAGTAACTTGATAGTGTTAATTGTTTTCAAAGTGGCCTTTATTCAAAGGATATACCTAATAGATTAAGGGTCAATTGATTTCTTTCTTTAATTAGTCCTGTATTGAAAACAAAGAATTGATAGAAATTGTATCAGTTCATTGAGTTCTTCCTCTTAAAAACAATGCATGGTAAAATCCTAAAAACTGTTACTGATTTTCAGATGTAGAGTTCAGTGTTCTTTAAACTCAAGCTGGCAACTGTGCAATTACCTTCTCACTGGGGATAAGGTAATGAAGAAATAGTCCATAGGAAGTCAAGGGGTCCTTTTCGGTTTCTAAGAGTTTACCATTGCCCCATTATCCAGTCCATAGGAAGTAATATTAACTAGAGGTCTTTTTTACCCATAGAATGTTGTAAACATCATGTTTTTGTTTAAAAGGAAACTTCCAAGCTCGTGAGAAGTATTAGGAATAGGCAAGCTGTAGGGTCGCTATGAGTCAGAATTGACACTGTGACATTGAGAGAGGCAAGCTGTTAGTTGGAATAGCTTTTTTCAGGTTCATGCCACATATTTTCATAATTACAGGTATTCTCTGAACCTTTTCAAACTCAGACCAATGAATGAACAATAGTTGGTGTAATAGGGGGTTGAGGGCCATACTAGGTGACACTGTCAGATGAGATGACATCAATGACTGACTATTAAAAGTTTGATACAATTTTAAGAGAAATGTATTACTTTTTATAAAAATATCCCTGGTAGTTATTTATAACAAAAAAAAACATTTTTAATAAACCCAGCTTACTTGTGTTATATCCCTAAGGCTAAAATTCTGTTCATTTAGTTTTTAATTTTTAATAAAAATGGCATTAGTAATTCTTGTAATTCCAAAGCACATGAGCACATGAAAAAAATGAAAAGGTAAAAATTACACAAAAAGGAATAAATTAATGTATTAGGCTAGATATTCTAGAGAAGCAAAACAGTGACACTCATATACATATATAAAATACGTTTGATCAAGACAAGTTTATATTAAGAAGCAGCCTGGGGTAAGATGTTAACTGGCATAGCTGCCATTTGATGAAGTCGGAAGGTGAGCATGGGATTGGGAGATCTCAGACTGATGGGCACTGAGTCATGTGGAGCCAAGATTGGCAGGAACATGGCAAGGCACTGACAGTTCCAGGTTGGTAGGCCACATGAGCCACTGGCCCTATAAGCCAGACACAGGATCCAAGCAAGCAGGAAGTAGAAGGGCAAGATAAAGAGAGACACTTCCTACATAGATTCCCTTCTAAAGAGGCCACACCCCTGAGGAGTCATCACTAGGCTGGGTCCTGATTGAAAGCTGGGCTCCACCAATATTTTCCCGTAGATGCACCAAGTTGACACAAACCCTAACTAGCTCACTTCTCCTCCCACATTCAGACCCAGGCTCATGCCTAGCGGGGTCAAGACAGTCTGCTAAGGATCCCGAGCAGGACCAGCCTATGAGGTTACCTCAGCCTGCGAACCCAAGACTGGATTAGAGATGAGAGATTGTGTTCAAAGTCAGAGTTAAGGACCTCTCAGTTCTGGAGCTCTGGCAGGGAAAGGCAGAGGTCAGGGTTGAGATGTGGAAACCAGTCATTGAGTTCGGCGGCCCAACAAATAGGGCTGGAGATTAGGGTCAGTTTCTCTGAGTCCTGAGACAGGGTTCATCGAGTGACCCTTATGATGCTACAGAATATGACTGGTTTCTAAGCATGGTTATGAGCGTCAAAATATACTAGGGACTGGAGCTACAGATGTTAATTAGACATGATTCTTTTCATGTGTTTTTTGTAGGAAAAAACAGAACAATATTAAATTCAGGATAGCACATTGCTACAACATATTTAGTAGATCCACACAAAATGAAGAAGATAATTTTAGGATGAGAATATTGAAGACAGTGAAAATTGTATAGTAGAATTTTGAGCTGAGGCATAAAGCATCACTCAGTGGACACAGAACAGAATTTGCAGGTTGCAGGCTAGTGGCTGGAATAACTAACACAACTCGGATGGGAATTGGAGTCAGACTTCATGAAAAAGGATAAGACTGCTGAGATTAACATTTATCATTTATTTCAAAAGGGTCATATTTTATTCTTTAACTAAAAAGAGATTTCAATTTAGAGTAATTGAACTAATAACATTGATGCACACTATAAAAATTTAGGTACAAATAAGCAAATTAAGAGTAAAAAAATTTTCGTTGGGAACCCTAAGCATGCGTAAAATTAAAATAATTTTTAGATTATTTCTTCATTCAAATAAACAATATATATATATGAAAGCCAAATACACAATATACATGTGAAAGAATAGATTTTCCACCAGAGATAGAGAAGATTTTTTGAGCCTCTTTATGGAAAAATTATGTGTACCTTAATCAGTAATTCTGAAAAATGAGAAGATGCTAGGATAATGGTTTTCTCATCACCATTTCATGAATTACCTGTTCTCATATTTTATCTCTTCATATTTTAGATTTCTCTGTGTGTTTGATTATCTACTCTAATACTATGTTTTTTAGGGTGAAGATGGGTTTCCAGGATTCAAAGGTGATATGGGTCTTAAAGGTGACAGAGTAAGTAACAAGCAAATATGCACTAATTTATGTAAATTAGAGTAAATTCTATATATATGAAAATATTAATTACATATGTGTGCATATATTTACATATATATATTTAAAATATATAAAAAGATAAATATGAACCAGTCTGTAGACAGTGTGGCAGGTTGCTGACAGCTCCTATGGTTAGCAGAATGATGAGCCAAATACAGATAGTACCAGAGAGTGACTCACTTAAGTTTTTATATGAATATCAGGTGTTCAATTTTATTGAAATTATATATTATAAATTATTGAGATTTTATATTAAATTCATTTTTCAGATTTTATTTCATACATGCCTATTTTATAGATATAGTTATGTAGGGGTTTTGACACAATTGTAGAAAATTGTGCATTTAAAATAAGTTAAATTTGTTAGGTTTGTGTTAAAATTTGCCATATATAATAAAGTACACTGTCTGGAAACTACATATCTACAGCTTTCATTATATGGTAGTCTTGAAAATTTGAATAGATCTTTTCTGGTAAAAGATGTCCAGAAAACAAAGAAGATGAGTCACCTAAACCAAATTCAACATTTTGTGGGAATGGTTATTTCCTACATAACATAATATTATCTAATAAATCTAAGAAAAAAGGACAGTTTTGTATAATCTATTACCTTCCAGTATGTGAAATCTGCGTATCTCATGGAAGCAACAATTGACATATTGGAATATCTAGTAAGGGGCCTTCATGTCACTATGGGATAAGCACTGGGCTGCGAACCTCGAAGGTTGAATGGCAGTTCAAATCCACCAACCATTCCACTGGAAAAGACGAGATTGTCTGCTCCCGTAAAGATTTGTAATCTCAGAAACCATATATAAATAGCAAATAAGGCCTCCATGCTCAGTTAGCTTCTAATATCTGAAAGTCCAGAATAGAGCTTCTCGACTTCCAAACTCTGATGTCCAAAGGTGTTATCCAATCGTAATTTTTATTGTTATCTGTCTTTACGGCAAGGTGCTATCAGAAAAACGTGGACTACTAAACTCAGGATGGCTTGCAAAGTTCCCAGCAACTCTGATGAAGAAAGATGGGCCTAGGTGCTCTAGATTTACTGTGCAATTGGATCTTGTTATCTCAATGGCACAGAGCGTTAAGCATTGGGCTCATAACCGAAAAGTCAGCAGTGTGAATCCAACAAAATACAGGGCTGGCAGTTCTAGTAAAGGACTGCAGTTTCAGGAATCCTACAGAGCAGTACTTCCCTGTCCTATTGAGTAGATATGATTCAGAATTGACTCAAATGGAGTTAGTTTGTTTTGGTTTGGGGTTTGTTTTGGGATTGTAATAAAAATGTATTGAAAACATTTTAATATGATACCCAATAATATCTGGCTTCTGTAGGTTTTCAAAATACCAATTGTAGTCAGTATAGTCAGTAATGGAATTGTTAAAAAGGACTGCCTGCGCTCTGATTGTGACATGATCACTGGAGCTCCAGTAGTGAAATGATCGAGGAAGCCAATGAGTGCTTTTAAAAGTCCTTGTCATAAATTGAAATGAGTCAACAAATGAGGAAATGAAGAATTTGCCTTTTTGATAAACTGCGATCTCTGTTTTCAATCTCTAAACATATTGTAATCTACAAGAATGCTGTCGCTCTGGGTTTCAGGGAGAAGTTGGTCAATTAGGCCCAAGGGGAGAAGATGGCCCTGAAGGCCCCAAAGGTAGGGCTGGTCCAACTGGAGATCCTGGTCCTTCTGGTCAAGCAGGAGAGAAGGTGAGTAAACAAAAGCAAATTCACAGATCCTCTTGAAATTATGGTTTGTTGTCATTTTCAAATAGATTAAATGTGTCGTATCGGAAATCCAGGAAATTCTATCAAATGTAAAGCATTTCAGTGTACTTTTTAAAAGTTGTACCTCCCCTCTGATCTCCTTGACCATACATGGTCAGTCCCTCTTAAAGTTCTAAAACATTAAAATATTAATTGGTTATCATCTACTTGATCCTGGTTATCCATGTGTGTCAGAGTGGAACTGTGCTCTATAGAATTGTCAACTACCTTTTTTTTTTTAATTAAGTCACCAGGCCTTTAGTCCGTGACACCTTGGTTCAAACAGACTTGAACTTCTAACCTCGTGCTTAACAACCAAATGTTTTAAATGATTGTGCTATTTATGGACTTTCCAAGATTGCTTGTTGAGAATTTGAGGGTGATGATTGACAGGTGATGAATAAATCAAGGAAAGACAGTTTTGTGTATTGGTTTATGACAAATATGATGGGGCTTCAAAAAGTTGTTGACTAAATTCCATTGCCTTCTAATTCCACTCTTTCCACAAACTTTTTGAAGTTCCCTCTCACTTCAAATCAAGCCACTATGTATATTTTGGCTTTGTTTCCCACAGAAGGATGCAATTCTACAGAGGCAGTGATTTTAAAAGAAATGATCCTTAGTTGTAACCTCAAGGGTCTATGCTTTTGTTTTCATTTCGAGTTGACCAGATAATTACACAATTGCCTTTATTGAGAGCCATATCTAAATATTTTGTGGCAAAAACATTATACAACAGGTATATTACACATAAATGCAATATAGATAATAACATTAATTTATTCTATAGTGTCTTTTCAATGACATGATAAACCTTTATATTATACTATGAAGTTACTTTTTAAAGGAAACTCTATGACAAGTAATATTTTATTTTGTGTAATAAAGCAAAAATATAAATAATAATATCTTTTGGCAGCATATTTCTAACAATTTCCTTTCTTTCATATATGTCTCTTCACACAAAGTCTTAAGTGTAAGCATGCCATTATTTCACAAAGGAAAGAAACATCAGGTTATTAAAAAAAATGTAATCAATTTCCTTCCTTACCATAGAAAAATATGAGGGATTTTCAAAAAGTTCATGGAAAATGTAGATTATGAAGAACTATGCATGGATTTCAACATTTCTACATCACAATGAACTCATTAACTTTCTAGAACATGCATAAGCAGAATCTAATTTGAGGTACTAAGGATAAGACGTATGTTTGAAAAGAGCTCCAATTAGAGCAACCTAATTCTGCTAAAACTTAAGCAAGAACAAATACTCAAATTAGGGTGAAGTTTCGGTAAAATAATGGTGAAATAATTAATACTTTATGTAAATTGTATGGGGTCAATGCTCCAAAAATATTAGCAGGTCATTAATGGATAGCTTGTTTTAAGAAGGTAAGAGATGATGTTTTAGAGGAAGCTCACAGTGGCAACCCATCTGTATCATTTGAGAAAAAGAATTAATCTTGTTTGGATTCTAATTAAAAAATGATAACTATTAACAGTTCTTAGCAGAAAAGTTATGAAATAGTAGCCAGCATGGTAATCATATCAACTAGCTCATCTTGCACAATTTGGACTGAAACATTAAAGATTAGCAAATATTCTATTCCATAGGTACCAAAATACTTCCACCCAAATCAGCTGCTTATAAGAGCAGAATTTTCAAAGGGAATTTTACACAACTGGGACCAAGACCTTGACATTTTATTGCAAGACTTTTAATAGGAAAGGAATCATGACTTTACCAGGATGATTCTGAAGACAGAGCAATGACTTCCAGGAGGACGAGTAAAAGACAAAGGTCAAGGCAACAGCTTGTGTGATGCTCATGGCATTTTGATGGTGGACTTTTGGGAAGCCCAAACGGATGATAATGTTTGCTTATTATGAGAATGTTTGAAAAAGGTAGCCAAGTCTTTCACAGAAAAACACCTGGGAAATCCTAACAAGAAAACCCTTCTCCATCAGACAGTGCTTCTGCTCATTCCACTTAGCAAACAAGGCCAATGTGGGGAGACATTTAAGGGGAAAGCATTTGGAATCCTCCTTACAGTCGTAATTGGCTACTTGTGAAAATGTTGATGTTTCCTCTTCTAAAGAGCACCTCGGTTTTTCTCCATTTAATCATGAGAAAAGGGCAGCATTGACATGGTTGGTTCCATTCTCAAGACCCTTGCTTCTTTGGGGATGGACTTAAGGACCATCACTTTCAAAAAGGTTTGACCTTGGTGGATCTCACGTGGAGAAATAAAGATGATAGCTTAATCATTTATTTCAATTTTCCACAACATTTTTTATTTCATAAATATATAAATTATGACTGTTGTTAGGTGTCCTCAAGTCAGTTCCATCTCACCGTGACCCCATATACCACAGAACAAACAGTGTCTCCTCTTGTGCCCGCTCAGAAGTGTTCTTATGTGTGAGCCCATTGATGCAGCCTTTGGGTCAAATTGTGACTAAACAGATAGAAAAAGCCCTTATGTCATTTATATCTTTTGATGTAGCAGTTTTTCTACAGTACAATATTTCCAATTTCTACTGTTCAATTGGAATGAATAAGAATCATTAAAAACTGAGGTCATTATAGCTCAGTTTTTCAACTTCTACATTGCTGCTCCCTTCCACACAGCAGTCTATTTCTCTACAGAGTTTGGTGATTTACGAAAATGCCACACAGAACTCATTGACTGTTGTGTTAGATAGGGTTCTCTAGAGAAACAAAACCAGGACACTTATGATTTTATATATATATATATGTATTTATATTTATATGTATATATATTTATATATATGTATAGATATACACAACATGAAGAAATAAAGAGCTAATTAGTCCACAGAGAAGTAAAGCGTGCTCAGTTCAACTCACTTCCATGAGACAGTTAATATACTGGAAGTCCTTTAACTCATGAGGGCTGCTGGGTGCAAGTCAAGGAAGCAGACAGCTGAGTCTTCTGTAGAGTAATACAGGCAGTCTGGCCACAGACAGCAAAAAGCAGAGCAGGTCACCAACAGTCAGCCAGCTGACAGGGTCCGACAGTCCCTAGCTCAAGTGATGTTTACACTAGTAGTGTGGCAAAGCAGGTCTGGAAGGAACCTCAAACTGTAGTGACACATTCCACAGGTTGGGTGTCCCAAAGGTAGTGCAGCTCACAAGTTGAGGCAGAAAACTAGCTAAGGCAGCCGCACACAGGTCTGATCATCAGCGAGCAAGAGACAGAAAGGGGAGGCTTGCCGAGCCATTTATCTCTTTGCCCTTCAATTAAACTGTGACCTTATTAATCCCGCATGTGGCGATTGGCCTGGTTGGCACAATAAACCTACCTATCACAACTGTACTTAGAGTTATGAGGTTTACTGAGGTAAAGGATACAGTTCAGGAACAGGATACAAACAGGCAGGACTAGTAGATTACAACCCAGGAGAAACTTGGGAGCAACAATCAGAAGTACTTGAATGCATGTGGAAAGGGTTCTGAAGCAGAGGGCATCTCTCTACTCTGAAAGCTCTCATTTCAGGGTTCTTTCCTGCAGAAAGCCCCATCTGGATTTGTATATGTCAGTCTATTCAGGTTTATTCCAGACTGGTTCCTATTCAATACAAATCCGCACAAGTAGCCCAAATATCCCAATAACTCTAAGAGTTGTTCTTGTTTTCACAGAAACCAGGGTAAGTGACAAAGTATTTGAAGTAAAGTAACTCTTAACCCTTAGTGACCATGTCAGGGTGCTTAGGCAGTGAAAAGAAAAGTTTACTAACGTAAGATTCTCCATTTTTTAAAAATTGCATTCCTGTCTTAACTGAAATACTAAAGTTAGATTCCACTGTATTGAGAATGCAAATAAATTTCCTGTCTGGATTTTTTTAAATGAACCCGAAAAACGAAAGGAAAAAAAATAGAAGTATGCATCCTTATGTAGTAATTAACAAAGAACATAAATAACTTTGTGATCTAAATTAGGGCGTCTCATTAACTTTGAAATTGATGGCATAAAACAAGCTTTGAGAGCATAAAGCACCTAAAGGGACATCATTATGCATATGCTTCCTAGGACTTGTTTGCATATTTGCCATCTGAGTACTGCTAACCTATGCAGTGTTGATCTTGAATCATATAACTCTGGTTCAATCTATAACACAGTCATAAAGAAAGTATGTTCTTCATTTCTTCCTTTACTTCATCCAGCGAAATAATTATTTTTGCTTATGAAGTACTGCTCAGATTTTAAGGCTGGATACCATAATTTGATTGTTTTTTCATCTGTTTTATTCAAATATGCTCCAGGAATAAAATACCAAATGCCTGCTAATGTTTAAAATTTTAACAACTGATGTTTTATATCTGAAGTGTGTTTTATAAATATCTTAAAGAAAATAGACAATAAACTTCCACATTTTTCAATTTATTCATTTAATAATTTATTTGATGCTCCATCTAACTGCATGATGCCATTCATGCTTTGTTGTGAAATAAATTGCAGGGAACTAATTTTGTTAGGATAACATTTTAAACCTCATGGTATTTGGTGTACATGTTTGAAATCTGTTATAATTTACAATGCATTTTAGCACTTGCAGCCTGAGAAGTAATCCCATTGTACAAAATAGTCACATATTCAAGTACTCATCTATAGATGCTGACAGTTCATAGGAAGTCACTATTTAGCTATAGCCCACAACACTTAGTATATTCATTCAACTTCCTTTATCCAGATATGAAAGAAGACATTTTGCTCCAAATTTTGTTTAGAATTTCTTATTATAGTTACTAAAACTTTAGTTATTCTCTGAGTAAAGTTAAATAACTGAAGATTACTTGCTATCCCTTTGTAAACATCCTTATATTGCAAACAGAATTACTTTATGACACATTACTTGCAATAATATTAGCTAAATATAGTTCCAGCTCTATCAAGTGATTTCAAGTTGTATTTTAATGTTGATAAAGCTTGAGTGTTTTATTTAGTCAGGATGTTTAATTTAAGTCAGGTTTCCTTACAGGAGGCCCTATAATGTATCCAACATGGGACATGTTCAACAATTTATGGAATTAGATACATATTCATATACACATTTTTTTCTATTTTAATGAAGAATTACAATGAGAATAAGGTTTTTGTTAAACATTGTAAATCTGCCTTTGCAGTTTGAAAATATTAAGTTTAACATACAGAAAAGTAATGAAAATAATTTTTTAAATATCTGTCAACTTAGAATATTTACATGATGATGATGATGATTTCTAACTTTAGGGGAAACTTGGCGTTCCAGGACTACCAGGATATCCAGGAAGACAAGGTCCAAAGGTAAACCAGTTTCATATTCTATCAACATTTTGTCTCAAAATTTAATGACAATGCTTTCCTTATAGGCAGAGATAATGAGTCTTGGAAATATAATTTCACAAAGGAAAATCATAGGGAATCTGGGTGTCTAGAGGGGTAAAAAACCCAGAGTTTTAGGTGGTGATAGATTGGAGTATTTAGGACAAAGTATAAAGGAGGACATAATGCAGCTGGACAACTGAGAATTTCTTAGAACACTAACATATGCCAGGTGTTAGATAATAGGTTCTGATTTTGTTTTGCATACCCCAATGGCTTGAATTACCTACAACTTGATTTATTTTAAAGAAAATAGTTATAATGCACCTTCAGCCCTGTGAGTCGATCCTCAGAACAACTTACCTGAGTTTCCTATTGTTGCTGTAACAAATTACCAAAACTTGATAGCTTAATACAATTTTATTTTCCCAGTATTCTGGGAACCTAAGATCAAGGTGTTGGCAAGGTGCTCCTGCTGAAGGGTGTAGGGGAGAGTCCTTCCTCGCCTCTTAGAGCTCCTTCAGGTCCAAGTATTCCTTGGCGTTGCTTTCATAACCCCAATCTCTGTCTCTAGGTTACACAGCCTTTTCTGTGGATCTGTGTCTTCTCTTTTGTTTCTGAAAAAGACATTTGTCTTTGAATTTAGGACCAACTCAGATAATCCAAGAAGATCTTATCTCAAGGTCATTAGTTTACTTAGATCTGCAAAGATTCTTTTCCAAACAAAATACTATCCAAGATTCCAGGGATTTGGACATGGGCATATATTTTGGGGCAGCATTATTCAGCCTGTTACACCTTCTAGATCCTACTTTTGACTATTTATAGTTTGCTATGAAAACTTTAAGCATTCAAATTATTTTTTGCCAAACCATTGAGTCAATTCCAACTCATAGTGGCCCTATGGCTTAAAAGAGGGCTGCTCTTTTAGGTTTCAGAGCTGAGCCCTGACCTCTCTAGGGGCAGAGAGTCCTGTCTGTCTTTTCCTCTGAGAGCAACTTGCAGATCTGGAACCACCAAGTATGTATTTATTGCTATTTGTTGACAACTCATGATTCTGTCTGGCAACTGCTGTGGAATTGTCTGAGGCAATTAAAATACAGAAACCACACCCACTAACAGTACATTTGATAATGCTTTATGTATAGGAAGGAGGAATGAATAGGGGTACAGAGAGAAAGAAAGAGGAATCAGCGTTATTTATAGATACCGATCCCCCATGGCCAGCATAACCCCCTCACCATAGTCAGTACAGGATACTTTCCTTGTGCCATATCCTAGGAAAGATCCCGTTTCCTTATTTTCAGGAACAGATAAAAAGTGGAATTGGCCAGGTGCTCCCTGGTGTGGCACAAGATCAAGAAGCGCAAAAGTCATCATGTGCCCCAAACAGAGAGGAAACATTCGAAGAATGGGCTAAGATTAAGACCTCTGTTTAGACAGCCTGAATAAGGAATAAAAAACAAAGAAGCCTCCTAATAATCACAGAATACAATAACTGCTTGATTATGTGCCATTGTCGTGATCATTGGCATGTCTGAGTGCATTGTTTGACTATGTATCAATCCATATCGAGAGTTTACATCCTTTTACTTTAATTTTTTACACTCTGATTAGTCTTTCCTGATAATATGTCCTAAGTAAGCAAGTCAAAGACTTAATTTACTCTCCCCCACCCCAAGTTTAGAACATTTACATCTTTCTTATACTCATTGTCATCAGCTCCTCAGAGCCACCCAACCTCCCCTGCCATGCCCCACAAGAACCCATGAATGGAGTCAGTGTCTCAATAGCTCCACCCAAACTGAATATGCTACACAGAGACAAAACAGAACACTGCAGTCTGCATGATAGCAAGGGCGTTCAACACCTTGGTCTCCTGTCAGAGGGTAACCACCAGAGGCTCATCTATGCCTGGACCCTGCAAATAAGTGTTTTTTTCACTCCCATTGTCATCCACAGCTTTGAAAAAGCCTGGTGTTCACAATTTAAACTCGGATATCATTCCCTCCTTTCGGGTTTGGATTTAATCATTCACATATTTTGGATCTCACAGGCTAGTGTGCCTCTTTTGTGTGGGCCCAGTTGATGCTTCACTGAGCTGGCTGCATGTTCAAAGACAAGACTTTAAGACCCTAGATCAGTGGTTCTCCACCTTCCTGATGCTGCGACCCTTTAATACAGTTCCTCATGTTGTGGTGACCCCCCCAACCATCCAATTATTTTCGTTGCTACTTCATCATTGTAATTATGCTACTTTTAAAAATTGGGTGACCCCTGTGAAAGGGTCTTTTGACCCCCAAAGGGGTCGCGACCCACAGGTTGAGAACCACTGCCCTAGATGTTATTCTTTCTAAAAACTAGGTACCATCTAGTTTTTATGCTACAATTTTCTATAGCACCCAGGTTTTCAGTGATCTCTTCATGAGGCTGAGCATCAAGTATGGTCATGTAAAAGAATTAATTGTTCTCAGATAGGGGCTAAAATTAAGTGTGAGACCCCAGTAAATTCATATATCTACATTTTATATAGGTCCCTGGTCCAGTTAAAGACATCATTAGCATTTTATGTTTGGCAGCATTGTCAATCATCTTCCTGGGACAAAACATAATTCTATTGGTGGTGCTATTAATTTAGCCAATGGCATAGAATTTAAAACACTGTTGAGAATAGAACACTACACTTATGGACCAGGTAGGAACCTCTATACATGGATTGTTGGTTTTTACGGATAAAACTCTGGAGTGGTTGGCTCCTAAGAAACGTGCCCCCCGCCCAAAAAAAAAAAGAAACGTGTTCCCCATATTTCTTCTGAGAATGATGTTCTTGTTCGTTTGACAGCGCGTAGTGTGTTCACTATTTTCTACAGTCTCATTAGTGTTGAAATGCATCAATTCTTTGTGTCTTCCAGCTTTCACATAAAACAATTGAAAAGACCACGGCCTATATCAGGCGTATGTGACATTTTTGTGACAGTAAAGTGACATGTTTGCATTTTAAAACATAAAGCAGGTTTTTGCAGGACATTCCCCTCATGCCACAAGTCCTTGGGGTTCTTAGCTTTGGGGTCCATGACACTCACTCTGATCCAGCTGGACCGGCGTACCTGTGCACAGGCATGGGCCCCATAGTTCAAGGGTTTCCCTTAAACTCACCGTAAAAAGGTGTAAAGACGACAGTTATGAATTAACTAGTACCTTAAAATGGCTAAATGAATTCATATGTAAATTATGGTTATTAATATTAGATGCCATTCTTTTAATTATATATATGTGAGATCATCTGATTAGCTAGCTAGGATAGTTGTCTAACTTTGAACAGTTCAGGCATGACAACTATAGTACACAGAGTCCAGTCCTAGTGGATCGAATACCACTGAAAATACATTTACTGTGTCTCATGGACTCAGTGGGGAGTAAAAATGTCTGCTTTCTGACGAATGTGACGTGTTAGAGTGTGCGTACACTCACTCATTGTCGTGTGATGGCACTAAGTTAGTCTAATGTGAGGATGCTGCAGGCCTGGCAGGGTTTCACTGTGTTGTATGTGGGGTCCCTATGAGACAGAAGTAATTCAATGTCACCCAACAGAGGCAACCATGCTAGTTTAAAGGAGCTTTAGAGTAAAAGTAAAATGTTATTGCCAATCAAATTATCTTGCTTAATATAAGGTAAATATATCTGAAACACTTAACAGGATAAAATTCATGTCACTTATGAATTTAAAACTAAGTATGCATCATTCATATTTCTCTAGTTACTTTGAGTACACCAATTAGAAACCATTGCCTTTTACATTTTGTCTATGATCTACTACCCTGCCTCCTAGTTACTATCCTTCTAAAGCTTTAGAATTATCCCAGAGATTTTAAGTAAATGAAGCCAGTCACTGTGGGCCCCTAGAGTTCACATGATTCGTAGATTATTTTGTGAATTCAGATTACCAGTTTGAATTGCAATTGTAGTGTTCTTTTGGCTGATTTCGAAACACAAAAAACAATCATAAATACCTTTAAGGAGCACATTAGTCTGCCATGTTTGTTTTACATTCTGTCTTTTTCTATTTTTCCTAAGTCCTCTGGATAATATTTTTTAAGTTCTCTTTTTTAACAAAACACAACAGAAGGACTGAAGGGAAATGCCTCTTCCTAGAACAGTCAGGCTTTCTTTTTTTCCCTTTACTATTTCATGCTGTCTCACTCTTTTGTGTTCATTTATTTTATATTAATTTAAAAAAATAAATTTTCTATGATTAAAAAGCTTTTAAGTATTTCAGTTCTGTAACATAAATGATGGAAATTAAACATCACTGATAGCTCTGCAGTTTTTCCCATGTGGATGTATTTTGATTAGATTTAAGTACTTATTGTACTAAAAGTGAAATCCGCCTGCTAACTTGAAGGAGTTTAAGATTATACAAAGATACTGTACTTTATCCATGTCTTAGTGGTAATATAAACCATAATAAATATTCAAGTAAATGCTACAATATATATTATAAAATGATAGATATTTCAACAAGTAAAACCTATTTAAAGACAGGATTAATTATATTTAAGACAGAATTTTACATAATTTCAGGATTTTTACATTTATTGACTAAGGCAATTTTATCAGGGCCTTTTGGGCTTTGATTGTTTTTTATATAAGAAGTATTACTTTTATGTGAGGATTGTGTATTTTGTTGATAATTGCTTAGGTAGGAAAAGATAAATAATATGCCACTATAATAGAAAGTATTAAGTTAATGGATTAAACACTTTTTCTGTTTTCTCTCAATTTCTTAAAGTAGAAACCAGGTGATAAATTGTTTATTATAAATGATACCAATTCATAAGAACAGTTTGTTTTATAGAAGTATCTTTATTAATTTAATTAGTTATCTATTTTACTCAGAACAGCAATGAAGACTTGTTCCTGAATAAACTTTAATAAAAGTAATGGATAGGCAATTGGATTATACTCAGCTATCAAAATTTCATAGTAATAGTAATAGTCAATCAAATGTAAGTCTATCTAATTCTCTACAGAAAAAGGGAAGAAACTCTTAAGTTCTTCCCAAATCTAATTTTTAGAGGCCTTTCTCATAGTACGTGTTTGTTTTTAATCTTCACAGTTGTTCTCTTGTGGAACGCATAGTTAGCGCTGTGGTTCTGGGTTATCTGTTATAGAAAGAAGCTGAGTGGTGCATACATTGGGTTATTATTTTTACCATAAATTCCGTAAGGTTCACATATACTTTTTGTTATCTTCTTTAATCGCATTTGTGGAAAGCTAAACTTTGCTTCCTAATTTATTCTATTTTGTGATATACTGATTAAGATGAACGATTAACAGTCATAAACCAAAGTACTCCTAGAGCAGGTAAAAACCTGGACCTATGCACATGCTGCAATGGGGGATTTTGCTATTTGGTATTATATTATATTTTACATTATATTATATATTATATTATAGTCCATCTATAAAATTTGGTTGATTGTTGACTTAATGAAGAAATACTTGTCATGTGCATATCCCAAGGCTCAATAGCTACTATATATTTCTGTATATTATAATAATTGTTATACCCTGTCTTCATTTGTCCCAAACTTACAAATTCCAAAGTACTATATTGTTCTCACTTTAAGGAAGAAAAAGTATACTTAAAGAAGATAAGTAATATACTCAATTCGCACAAGTGATGGTATAATAATTATAAATCTTGATTTATGTCTTGAGAATTAGAAAGTTAATGCTGGGATATCTGAGTTAGACAAGTAGCTATGTGTAAGCACATTCAAGCAACAACAGAGAAGATGGAAGAAAATTTTTGTATAAATTATTTGATCAAGTTTTAAAGGTGTACAGACAAAGAGCTGTTTCAAAATCCTGCTTACTTTTTATTATTATCATTCATATTGTAATATCTTGTGAAAGATAAAAATCAAAATATTCTGCATATTTGTTTTAGAGATTATACATATAATATTTTAATAGATATATGATGTTTCATAAGAATTCATCACCTTTGAACATCCAAGTATCTTCTGAAAAATGATAAAAATAAAAAAACAATAATGTAAACTGATAAACATTTTCTAAGTCTTCTACTTTAGCATTTTATTTCTCATATTTGTGAGAAATAAGTTTTTCTTTAAATTTAAAGCACGTATAGAATTACAAGTAAAACATATTTTAGCTAAAATGCCCATTAGTTGCTAATTTCTAATTGGAAAATTATTCTATTAATTATTTTATTTTTAAAGTTGAAGAATAAAATATGTCTTGTCAATCCTTGCTTTCAATGCTTGCAGGATTTCCAAACTCATGGTAAGTTTGTTTTCAAATATATGAATCAAGTTTGTGTGGTAACTTAAAGCAACATATTTTTGATTTACATATTGCCAATTGTGTCAGGAGCACTGTTTTTCAAAAAAAAATTAAAGCTTTCCACCAAAACTACTAATAACTTTTCTCTATTGCCATCTTTATTGTTATTGTAGGGTTCCACTGGATTTCCTGGGTTCCCAGGTTCTAATGGAGAGAAAGGTGCAAGGGTATGGTCTTGTTCTAGACTCTTTCATATGCATTGTCTTGCATGCATGCCACATGTTAGCATTGGTTTCATATTTATTGTAACATGCTTCCTACTGAAAGTACCGGAACTGTCTTTGGCAGGGTGTAGCTGGCAAGCCAGGCCCTCGGGGTCAACGCGGTCCAACGGTGGGTGCTGTGATTTTAAATGATGAATGAAGTTTTAAAACTTTAATTTAGTAATTCAAGATTTTTTTTCAATTATGAACTTCGATTCTATGCCTTACTTTTATTGCCCTCATCTGTTCTCATAATCAGGGCCCCCGAGGTTCAAGAGGTGCAAGAGGCCCCACTGGTAAACCTGGACCAAAGGTACTGTAGGCATTTGTTCCACTCTGGGCTTTGTTACAGGCTACTTCTCCCAGACAAAGGGTTCTATGAGAATGAATCAACTCTGATTTTTCTTATCTGTTATTTTTCTGGTGTTAGGGTACTTCAGGTGGTGATGGCCCCCCAGGTCCTCCTGGCGAAAGAGTAAGTAGGATATAGCCATAGAACATAAAACAAAGACTTAATATTTTGCAATGGGTTATATTTATGGAAAAAGTACCTCTATCTGCAAATAGATTTAGACAATTATCAGCAAAGTCCTAGTGAAAGTTCAAAAGATCCCTGTTCTTTAAGTTCTTCTTTGAATAAAATGTTAAAATGGTTATATCTTAGTAATTTTATCATTAAAATGACAGAATAGGGCCTATTGGCCTAAACTAAACTCTCAAACCCAAGAAAAAAACATTTTTAAAATATGCATGGAACACCTGAGCTCTTTAATGCATTCCTCTTGCTTTTTGTATTGATATGCATTTTGTCCAGTGAACAAACAGTAGCATTATGTTAGTGAAATGTGATCTACCAGTAGCCATTAAACCACAATCGATATAAATTCAAATCAAGATAAAACATCTATTCCAGTAAATAGAAAAACTATTTAGTAAATTGATTTTCAATTGGTATAAAATAAAGCTAAATACAGATGAGAAAGCATGAGCTTTTTTTCTATTTTTGGCTTATTTGGTAAAATGCATTCTTGTAGCCAGACTTCTATGCTGTCATCTTGCAAATATTTAAATTCAAACATCTTTATGATTGTCAGACAAATTAAACTTATTTTTTAATATATTACAATGGGCTTCAATGTTATGCAACCACATATTAAGATATGTTTGTATATTACATACCAATATTTCAATAAACAATTTATAAAAGGAAAAACAAGCCCTTGGTGTGTCAATCAATCAGAATTAATGAGTAAACCTTAACTGTCTGTTTCTAGTTATGACACACATATTGGTAGATAGGTACAAGGATACATGTTTATTAGAGTTGTATTGAAACTTTGACTTACTTAATTCACAATACAGTAAAAGAAAAAAATGTGGTTTTGTCTGACTTCTAACTTCGAAAGAGAAGAGCGGATCAAGATAATCGGTCCAAGGCTCTCAGCTCCCTTTGCGGTGGTCAGACATCTCTCTACTTTCCAGCCTATCGCCATTTCTGACTGCCCCTTGGTACTGTTTCTTCAACCTTTTCTTTTACCCGATTCTTATACCAGCTTTCCCACATGACTCTGCTCCTCCTTCCCAAGACTCTCAGCTTTCCCACTCGCTTGATCAACACATTCACTGTAACAGCTTCTTTCTGCAGCCCAGGAAGCCTACCATACAATCTCGCAATGTAGGAGACATACCTAGGAAGGCATATTCCTAACTTTCCTTGATGCTCTTGATTTTCAGGGCCCTCAAGGACCACAGGGTCCAGTTGGATTCCCTGGGCCAAAAGGTCCCCCTGTAAGTACCATAGTTTCTACTTTTCTTTCTTCGTTTTTCTAATATTGTCAAATGTTTTGAGTGATACTTTTAATTTAAATCTTATATAGGTACTGATATTGATGGAATCTCTATTGATATAAAGTTCAAATTTATATCATTTACTAATATAGTTTATATAAATATTATCAATTATTTCAGAATATAATCTGACCTGATTAAATATTCTTTCAAAGTATATTAAGCTAGAACAAAATAATTACCATTCAGTTAATCACTCCTCTACAATAATGAATATAATTGATGGCAATAATATTTCATTTCTTACATAAATTAGAACCACTGCCTTCAAGGGGATTCATACTCATAGAAATTTTATAGGATCGAGTAGAACTACCTAGTAGGATTTGTAAGGCTGTCAATCTTTACAGAAGCAGACGGAAGCAGCATTTGCCCAAGGAGTGGCGAGTCGATTCCCATCATTGACCTTTTGGTTACCATCTAAGCACTTTAACCATTGTGCCACCCTGTTACCAATGAGCTTGACCCCCAGCCAAAATGTTGGAGGTTTGAATACAATTACAACCATGCCACAAATAGAGGATTTGATTGGGTATATCTCGGTTCTGAGTATTGAAGTTACTATCAAGGACCCCGGAGATGACAGTGCTGCTGGCCGATGGACCACACTTCACATAGCAAACTTCTAGATCACTTTGGAAGAAAAAAAGCCTCCGTTCTTTGTTTATTCTTTCAAAACTAAATGCAATTAAGATGCTCAGCTAGTGATTGTAGTACGTTCATCACAAGAATAAAAATAAAAATTTTAAATAAATCACCACTACTATTTTTATTCATACCCTGTAACTTTTATCTAGAACCACTTTGATAATACATTTTGAAGCTATATTTCTTAAATGAATTTTGAACTAAATTTTTGTTTCTAATGCAAATTCAATTACCTTTTTTAATGAAACTACAACATGTACCTTGAATGAGCACATTATTTTCAAATTTTAATGCATACCACTCTTTCAAAATTATATTAACTAATTTTATAATTCCAAGTAATTATAATTAACCAAGTGGGAAATACTAGAATTATTTCACAAAGGAAAAGTTCAGAAACATACCAATGTCAAAATTTTATTAAATTTTTACTTAGGGTTGGTTACATAGTATATTTAAATTTTTTAAAGCAATTTAAAATTAAATAAATATGTTTATTATTTTTTTATTGATTCTGAATAGTTCTCTGTTTCACTTATTAGTTTAAAATTTGACTTTAATTCCTCCCTAAAATGAATTATTTATTGTGGAAATTGAGCTTCCTAGTATAAGCTGAAATATTGATTTTATTAAATGTTGAGGAAAATTCCCTTAGATATAGTGCTTATGGTGGTCTTTTAACACTAAACTGTTTTACATCAGTACTGTAAAATTTTCTATGTTATAGTGTTATAAGGATCAATGCAAATAGTAGTGTAAGACATAGTACTAATACTATCTGTATATTATGCTACTTACTCATCGGTTCAGTGTGTTCCAAATGTCTTATCAAGGCCATCTGTACAGTGTTTATAGCATGTAAATAGAAACAAAATTCCAATAATTGTTTCCAAAATATTTCCATAAGTATTCTGAACTCATGTGCACCATGTGCATATATATTATGCACAGCATAAACCAAATGATACATACAGCCTTAACATTTTAATTTCAATTATATCTGTAAATACTTTTAAGGATTATTTTCAGCATGCAATATAATTTTATTGTCAAGAAAACAATTTGATCCATTTTTTCTCAGATGTTTTCAGTCTATTCTTCCGTACACATTTCACCAAGTTCGAAAGCAGTGCTTATGTGTGCCTTATTTCTCTAAGGAGAATTAGAAGGGTAATAATTGCTTCTACCTGTGAAATAC